AACAGACCATATGAATAGAGCCTAAAGTTATAGTCACATGATCATTACTATAGATGCAGAAAAAGATTTTGATAAGGTCCAACCTTCATTTATGATAAGAACCTTGCAGAAAATTGGAATAGATGGTCCTTACCTCAATATAATTAAGGCCGGCAATGACAAAACAACAGCCAGTACCATACTAAATGGTCAAAAACTGAAGGCCTTTACTTTAAAATCAGCCACAAGACAAGGATGTCCCTTATCACAGCTCTATTTAATATAGTACTGGAAATACTGGGCAGAGCAATTAGAAAAGAGGGAGAAAAAAGGCGTAAAGATAGGGAAAGAAGAAGTTAAATTATCATTATTTGCAGATGACATAATACTTTATCTGGAAGATCCCCGAAGCTCCATTGAAAGACTCCTACATATAATAAATAAATTCAGTAATGTAACTGGATACAGAATCAATACTCAAAAATCAATATCATTCCTATACACTAACAACAAAGTCACAGAGACAGAAATAAGAGAGGCCACACCCTTCACACTAGCAACCAAGAAAATGAAATATTTAGGAATTACTCTCACGAAAGAAGTGAAAGGCCTATACAGGGAAAATTATAACACACTGAAAATTGAAATTGAAGTTGATTTCAAAAAAAGGAAAGACATCCCTTACTCGTGGATAGGAAGAATAAATATTGTGAAAATGGCCATTCTCCCAAAACTTTTATACAGACGCAATGCAATCCCGATAAAAATACCATCAACATACCTCATAGAACTTGAGAAATCACCCCTAAAATTCATCTGGTGTGAGAAGAAACCTAGAATGGCAAAGACAGTTAGAGGCAGCAAAAGCAAGGCAGGAGGTACCACAATCCCAGACTTGAAGTTATACTACAAAGCAACTGTAATAAAATCGACATGCTACTGGAATCAAAACAGAGCTGAAGATCAGTGGAATAGATGAGAAGATACAACCACAACTACAAACACACTCAACTACCTTATCTTGATAAAGGGGCCAAACATATTTACTGGAAGAATGACATTCTCTTTAATAAATGGTGGTGAAAAACTGGCTCTCCATATGCCTAAAACGAAAACTAGACCCATGTCTATCACCATGTACTAAAATAAAATCTAAATAGATCAAAGATCTAAATATTAAAACAGAAACACTAAATCTATTGAAAGACAAGTTGGGTAAAAACCTTGAAGACATAGGAGTAGGTAGAGAATTGATGAACAGGACTCAAACTGCATGGGAAATGCTTCCCAGAGTCAATAATTGGGATCACCTCTTATTAAAAAGTTTCTGCACATCAAAAGAAATCTCCAGTATAGTGAAAAGAAAACCCACAACCTGGGAAAAAAATCTTAGTGAACTGCCCCTCAGACAGAGGACTTCTGTCTAAAATATATAAAGAATTTTAAAAAATGAGACCACCAAAATTCAAAGACCCAATCCAAAAATGAGCATCTGAGATGAATAAACAATTTTGAGATGAAGAAATACAAATGACAAGTAAATACATGAGAAAATGTTCACCATCAATGGTCATTAGACAAATGCAAATTAAAACCACACTGAGATTTCATCTCACTCCTGAAAGAATGGCCAAGATCAAGAAAAGCACCAACAACAAATGTTGGAAACGCTGTTGGGACAAAGGAACTCTCCTACACTGTTACTGGGAGTGTAGACTGTACAACCATTGTGGAGTTCAGTCTGGAGATTTCTCAGAAAGCTAGGACTGGAAGCACCTTTTGACCCAGCTATTCTATTTCTAGGCATATTCACAGAACTGAAAGCATCATTCCACAGTGATATATGTGCACCCATTTTTATAGCAGCACAGTTTGTAATAGCCAGATCTTGGAAACAACATAAGTGTCCATCAACTGTGGAATGAATAAAAAAGTTATGGTGTTTTTACACAATGGAGTACTACTCAGCTATAAAGAATGATCACATTGACATATAAATGGACGCAGTCTGAGACCATACTCCTAACTGAAATAAATCAAACTCACATGTATAAATACCAAATATATTCCCTAGTATAAGAAATGATAATACATAGAAGTATGTGGCAATCATGATACCCAATCATATTGTTTGAATCCATATAATGTTTTCACTCATTAAGTGCAATGGTTTTACCCTGGGTTTTTTGATTTTAGTATCAGTGATAGTACAAATAGCTATTCTGAAGAAAATAACACATCATAAAATCTAGTGCTGATTTAATATCATCTTCTCTGGAACTCCCATCAAGTTGTTGTAAATGTTTCCACTGGTTTTAACATGTTGTATCTTAATATATTTTACTGTATGTGATAGTATAAATAAAATTGTTTACAGGCAAAGAGATAATATCGAAATCGTTGTTCATTTTCTGTTAACTGGCTCTAAATACCCTGTAATTCTTTCATTCTCTTGAATGGCTTCACACTGTCTTGATGTGATTGATTCCATAGTATACGAAGTTATACTCAAATAATTCAAGGAAAGAGGTGCTATGGTGACTATTATTATGTTAGATTACCTGGAGGTGAAACAGAATGAAGCTTTAATTGCTCAGTTCTGACCTGTGTTGTTCTATTACAATGTCTCTTTTATCTCGATCTCCACCCCTTTTAAAAAAATTATTCGATTTTTTCTTATTCTTTTTCAATTAAAGGAAAACTAAATTTAAAAATAGCAGGATATATTATACTAACTTTTTTTGTTTTCCTATTAACCTAATTTTAACCCCAGTATTGCTCTCCCCATCTTGTTCTCCCTGATTTTACTATATTCTGTTTTATTTGATAGTATCAAGTTTGAGGATATAGGCAACCATTTTGTAGGCACTAAGATTTACTATGATGCCCATTATGGTTTGACTATTATCTTCTTTTGAAATTCTGTAAGGTCTCCAGTTTAGATTTTATTTGTCTTGTTCTGTACTGTTTTGATCAATTCTATTATACCAGATTATATAGGGAACTCTTTTTAAAAATAGTAAGAGGCACAGTGGTAACCATTTTTGATCACCTGATATTCTATTTTTGCATCAAGTACTATGCCCATCCTTATGTTCTAACCAACTCTGTTTTGTTAACTCACTTGAGGTTTTATTCTTTTCAAAAAAAGTAATAAGAACTATGGAAGTAAAAAAAAACCCAAAAGTGTAATGGTTTTTGTGAAGAAGAGAGGAAAGGAAGGTGGTCTAAGGGATATAAGTGCCTGCCTGAGTGTGTAGGAAGGAAAACCATATTACTGAGCTTTTGTTGGATCATTGAACAGAACTGTCTGCAGTCTTGCTATAAGAATGTTCACTTTATATGCTTCAATTTTATAATTTGGACAACTGTTTCTAAGAAGACAATGTGTAACCTATTAACTAGTGATTTCTTACTGTATTTTTTCTTGAAATTCTGTATTATTTGTACCCTTTTACTGCTTTGTTTTTTTATGCTCTTTTTTTTCTCCTTAAATAAAAAAAATTAAACCCGGAATTTATATCTTTTATTTTTTTATTTTTTGGTACTGGGGATCAAACTGATGGCCTCACACTTGCCAGGCAGGGGCTTAAGCCACTGAGCTAAATCCCCAGCCCCCCAATATATATCTTTCACATCTTATCATCTTCAGAGTAGTTGCCTCTACTCTTGGACTTGATACCAGCAATCATACCAAATGTGAATAAAATCAGTCAAGGCCAAATAACATTCAAACAAACCAGCTTCAAATAACATCAGTCATAGTAAGACAATGTAAGTAATACAAGGTTTCAGTTTTAGTTAATAGGAAATTAAGGACAATTACCATCATGGTGTAACCTGCCATTTTTGGGTTATCTCTCTTTGCCCTCAAATCTAATATGAGTAGACAGACCAGAACAAAATATAATCAAACTAAACAGAGCAACAGAACTACTATAGCTTTTAAATCCTGATACACTTTTAACAATGTGCTCTGCCTTCTTTTTTTAGGCAATTCCTCACCTTTCTCCTTCTCAGGATACTATTATTCACTGTTCAGAGTGATATTAGTTTAGTCTCTTATGTTCAATTTCAGCATACATAAAAATAAAGATGTCTACTATGAAGAGAATGAGACACATTATGGTAATCATTATCAACTTCCCCAAAATTAGTCTTGAAGATCAAAAAAGCCTTTATCATCCTGTAATTATTTGATTAGTTCTATAATGTTCAGTATATATTCAATGCATGTGAAGATGGGAACAACTATTTTGAAGAAAACTAGAGACAGTAAGGTAGAAAATGAACATCTCAGTGGACTTGCTTTGAAACCTGTGTTTCCTTAACTTGTTTCCTTATGAACTGTTCTGTTTTGTCATATTTAATCTTACCATCTTTTAGATAAAAAACAAGTTTGTAGAACAGATAAGCATATTAATAAGTTTTTGTTGGATCACTGAGGTGAACTGTTTGCAGTGTCATTATTTGAATATCACTTTGTATGCTTTAATTTTGCAACTTGAACAATTACTTCTAAGATGATAATATGTAACTAATCAACTAGTGATTTCTTATTGTTTATTTTTCAGAACTTTTGTATTATTTCTACACTTTTTGGTTTCTTTCTTTAAATAAAAATAATTCACCAAAAATATAAAAATTAAGGTTTAAAGACAAAATATTAAGTACATAGACACTATCCATACTTGAATGTGAAAAGCCCATTTCAGTTTACCATGTTTAATTACAATATGCCATGTTGAAGCACAAAGACACTTTAAAAAATCTAAAGAGGTATAAGTGATTAACTGAAAACCATACAAAATATGTACTTGAGTAGAGCTCCACTTCAGATTTGTCATTTCTGGAAAATTTGTGAAGAAATATTGATATCAAACTTCTGTATTGATTATTTCTTCAGGTCTACTTGGAATTTTTAAAGTAAACTTAGATTTAAACTGTCTGAAGAGTGCTGCTTTTTCTATGTATTTAACAACAAACATGGATTGCCATATTTCTCACATTGTTAATGCACATAGGATAAAGTGAGCTCTTTCAGATATGTAAAAATGATCATGTGTGCTGAGAGTATTTTCATAACACATAGGATTTATCTCTTGTGTGAGCTTCTTCACATATTTCACTTACAATCTGGCTGCTGAAAGTGTCTCCACTTGCTTACGTAGCCAGTGGTTCTTCCCAGTGTGAATTCTTTCATGTGTTTTGCAATGACTGTATGTGGTAAAAGATTTGCCACATTGTTATATAATAGGTTTTCTCTACCAGAGTGGAGTCATTGATGTATTTTACAAAATCCACGTGTGGTGAAAGCTTTCCCACATTCTTCACATAAACAGGGTTTCTTAACATTGTAAATTTTTTCATGTATTGGACAATGAGCATTTCTGCTGAAACCTTTCCCACATTCCTCACATATATAAGTTTTCTGCCCAGTGTGAAATTTTTCATGCATTACACAATATGTACTTGTGCTCAAAAAATTCTCATGATGCTTATATACACTGGTTCTACCTTGAGTGTGAACTTTCATGTTGCTTACAATGTCCATGTTGGGTAAAAGCTTTCCCACATTGCTTACATACATAGGGTTTCTCTCCAGTGTGAATTCTTTCATGTATTTTACAATTTGCCCGTGTGCTAAAAGCTTTCCCACATTGCTTACATACATAGGGTTTCTCTCCAGTGTGAATTCTTTCATGTATTTTACAGTTTGCCTGTGTGTTAAAAGCTTTCCCACATTCCTTACATACATAGGGTTTCTCTCCAGTGTGAATTCTTTCATGTATTTTACAGTTTGCCCATGTGTTAAAAGCTTTCCCACATTGCTTACATACATATGGTTTCACTCCAGTGTGAATTCTTTCATGTATTTTACAATTTGCCCATGTGTTAAAAGCTTTCCCACACTGCTCACATAAATATAGTTTCTCTCCAGTGTGAATTCTTTCATGTTGCTTACAATTTCCATGTCGGTTAAAACCTTTCCCACATTCCTTACATACATAGGGTTTTTCTCCAGTGTGAATTCTTTCATGATTCTTAAAAATTCCCCATGTGTTAAAACCTTTCCCACATTGCTTACATACATACGGTTTCTCTCCAGTGTGAATTCTTTCATGTATTTTACAACTTGCCCGTGTGCTAAAAGCTTTCCCACATTCCTTACATACATAGGGTTTCTCTCCAGTGTGAATTCTTTCATGTATTTTACAATTTGCCCATGTGTTAAAAGCTTTCCCACATTGCTTACATACATATGGTTTCACTCCAGTGTGAATTCTTTCATGTATTTTACAATTTGCCCATGTGTTAAAAGCTTTCCCACACTGCTCACATAAATATAGTTTCTCTCCAGTGTGAATTCTTTCATGTTGCTTACAATTTCCATGTCGGTTAAAACCTTTCCCACATTCCTTACATACATAGGGTTTTTCTCCAGTGTGAATTCTTTCATGATTCTTAAAAATTCCCCATGTGTTAAAACCTTTCCCACATTGCTTACATACATACGGTTTCTCTCCAGTGTGAATTCTTTCATGTATTTTGCAATTTTCCCGTGTGTTAAAAGCTTTCCCACATTTCTTACATACATATGGTTTCAATCCAGTGTGAGGTATTTCATGTTGCTTACAATGTCGAGATTTTGTGAACCCTTTTCCACTTTGCTGATATACATAGGATTTCTCCCCACTGCCATATTTTTCATGGATCTGAACATGGTGGTGTGTTTCTGCTTCTTTCACATTCACATTACCTTCTGCAGTACGAAGGAATACTTCTTTACACTGATTCCAAGATGCATGTCCATAGGATTTCCCTACCTTGTCATTTCTGTAAAAAAAAAAAATCACATATCGGATTGATAATCATATTACTAAGTTTTTATTGGAGATTTGAACAAAATTGTTTGTAGTCTCACTGTTTGAATCCCCACATCATATGTTTCACTTTTGTGTTTCATTAACTATTTCTTTTTTTTTTTTTTTTTTTTTTGCTTTTTCATTTTTATCGGTACCGGGGATCGAACTCACGACCGCCTGCTTGCAAGGCAGGTGCTTATGCTGCTGAGCTAAATCCCCAGCCCTGCATTAACTATTTCTATGAGCAGCATATGTAATCACTGTCTTTAGATTTCTTACTGTTTATTTTCACTTTGAAAGTGGTATCATTTCTACTTATTTCGTTTTTTTTAGTCTTTCCTTACATTAAATAAAAAAAAGAAACATTCACAGTGAAATGGGTCTCAGTTTAATGACTGCATTAATGTCAAGTTCTGTTTTTAATGCCTGCTAAGAAACTCTGAACATGAAGTAACAGAATGGCCTTGTAAGACATGTTGAAAACAACTATTCCCAAAAGACTGGTACACATTTGGAAATCTTAAAATTTGGTACCTTTTGAAATGCAGAATCTTTATCTTCACTTTGGGCATTGATACATATGTGTATCACATACAGATCATTATGATATGTTTCACATTCACAATCTCCCTTCTGTCCTTAACCTGTAGTTTCCTTTTCCATATGGTCAGTCTTATTTTTCTCTATTAACTCTTTCATTTCATTCCACAATTTATATTTTGGTTTCTCATCTAAGAGAAACCCTGTGAACTTTTAGGTTTCATAGCTGAGCTATTTCACCGAATTGATGGGAGAAAGAACCACCTATTTCTTATGGCAAATGACATTATATTCTTTATTTTTTGACATTATATAACACATTTTTTTTTGTTTCCATGCTGGGAATGAACAACAGCTATTAGCATAAAATCTATAGCTTTTTAAATATGTTTTAAGAGATTTTTGCTGATCATTAAGCTGTGACGTCTGAACTTGAATTTGCAATTCTGCAAAATCTGACTCCTAGTGTGCTGGATTTACAAGAATGCACAATCACAAAGAGTCTATTAACATTTTCCTTCTCCACAAATCCAGTGATAGATAGCTAAGCTTCATCAAGACCTGATATATTATAACTCGATCTGCTTTGTATATGAGTAAGCTTGTATCAGTATTTTATGTGCATTTTGGATTTTTAAAAATATATCCAGGACAAGTATGAGGGGATCAATTTCTAGAGACAACTGCACACTGATATTCAGAATGAGTGCACTAACATTCTACCAGCCTTCTAAGAATTTTAGTCAGAATGGCTGATTCTTTAGAGCATGGCTTGGAAACACAAGAACTCCATTTTATTTCAAATTCTATTGCAATCTTAGCAATTTTTAGATGATGAATGTGTTGTATTCACATGTATATATGGGTAGAAAAACTGAAAAGAGAACATCATAACTCAAAGTGTATGCCTTTCATACACATCTATATGCAATGTCATACATTTTCTTGATTTAATCCACCCATTATACATACCCTAGCTTTAACGTCTTCAGAGAATATTACTGACAATAAATTGAATGGTGCCTCATTTCTTTGGCGGTATTTTTCTGCTGACTCACTAATTACTCAGGAACATTCCTTCTCCTTATGAGTGCGAATTACCTTAAGTATCTCCAGTAAATTTTGCATTCTTTTTCAGCTTCCTGGATATCCCCAAGTTCTCCTAAATTGTAGACATAGAAATACCAGCGCTCATTAGAATAATACATACAAATTAATAGATTTTGTTTAGAGTTATGATATAATGTGTCCAGGTCTGAGCTATTTTTAAAAATATATTCACATTGTTTTTAATGAAACAGTGACATACAACATTCTGACAGCATGAGTGACAAAAGTATTTTGTCATTACCTATTGCAGCCATGTTCCTAAAGGTTTCGCCCATCACATCTCTGTAGAGGTTCTTTTGGGATGGACTCAGCAAAGTCCACTCCTCTTTGCTGAAGTTCACGACCACATCCTCAAAGGTCACCACCTCCTAAAGGATCATACATATATTTCTCACATGAAGGTTGAGACACCAGGTTTGGGATATCTTAAATTCTCTCCTACAAATCTGAATCAAAAGCAAAGTGTGGTGGTATATATCTATAATGCCAGCACTCAAATGGCTGAGGCAGGATGGTTTCAGTGAGTTCAGGGCAATTCTAGCCTCCATAGGGTGTTCAAATCTAGCTGATATACATATAGAAAGCTTGTCTCAATAAAACAAAACAAAACTAAACAAATACAACCAAACTAAACAGCTGAATGAAGACTGATTTCTTCAAATTTAAATCCATGTCTTGGTCATTAATTTTGTATATATACACATTTTTGAAGACAGCAAATTTGATGATAGATTGCAACTCACTGCTAATGTAACAGTGAAATAGGAACACTGATTCTTGTGCTGAGTCACTGCAATATTCCCTGTGTGCTGTCTCTAATGCAGAGCTCACAGTGAGAAGCCTGCAGGACCACCATCCACAAAGCACAGAGGCAGATAAATATCCCCTCAATCAACTGGGAAGCCAAGCAAGCACCTCCCTTCCCTGGTAAGTGGTGGTGGTATGGCAGACTGTGGCCCATCCAGGGGGAAACCAGCAGCAGCTCCTAAGATCCATGCCATGCTGGAATTTAGGACACTTGCAAGGCAAGCAAGCACCACTTCTCCCTGGTAAGTGGTGGAGGTCTGGCAGAATGCTGCCCTTCCAGGGGGAGAACCAGCAGCACTTCCTGAGATCCATGCCATGTGGGAACCTAGGATGCTGTGAAACAAAACAACTGGCCTGTCTCCCTACTAAGCAGTAGTGAACCTACTGATGCACGGCCTAGAATCAAACATCCCACTTCCCTACCCCTCTTCTCCTGTCAACCCCCATTAGCAAATGGGAACCAGAAATCTGAGTGTCTCCTGAGAAGCAGACCATAACAAATAAAGGGGACTTCCTTCTACTATATCTTTGAAGGTGAATATTTTTATTTCTGTTTTGCTCTTTTCTGATTAATGGTATTGCTCTATTCAATATTCTGTTTTGATAAGTACTATAATGTTCTGTATTTCATCTCATTTTGATATACATGTTTGAAAGAACAACTATTGGGGCTGGGGATTTAGCTCAGCGGGATAAGCACCTGCCTTGCAAGCAGACAGCTGGGGGCTCGATCCTCGGTACTGATAAAAAGGAAAAAGACAAAAAAAAAAAAGAACAACTATTATAAATATAATAAAATATACTGTGATACCTATTACTGTTATCGCAGTGACCAGTTGTGAAGTTGTGTACCAATTTCACTGTATGATCTTAGTTGGCCTTATTCTACCTTGTTCTGTTGTATTTTACCACTTTCAAAATTTAAAAAAAGAAAAAAAAATACTCATCAATCACTTTGATAGGCTGCAGATAATGTCTCTTCAAATCTCATTTAGGCCAGTGAGTACTTTGTTCTTAATATACTTCAGCAAAATTTTGAAACATGAATTTGGTTTCATAGAACAAAACATAAATAACATCCAATATGATACACAAATAATAACTGAAATGTTAGTGGAAATGCTGTTTTTAAAAAATAATTATATAAAATGGAACCAGGCCCAAGCTGTAATTTATAGCTCACTGTCACCAAGCGTTCACTTTCAATTCAGATATAAGGAATATATCTTGCAAGGCTGGTGAAGGAGTTCTTCCTTGAATTTGGGGCTACCCTAAGTTACAGAGCTGTCTAACATAGAGAAACCGTGACTGTGACACCCCACAGACAAAGTGAAACTTGAAAAGAGACTGCATAAGATACCTTTGATTTGGTTTTAAAAATTATAGCCATACAATATGGAAAAATTCCAACAATATTCAACACTTTCTGAGAAACAATGTGGATATCTTCCATACAACAAAGAAAACAGTTTCAGAGTTGGGTATTTAGCTCAGTGGCATGAACACCTGCCTGGAAAGCATAGGTCCTGAGTTTGATCCTTGGTACAAAAAAAAAATCCACATTTTACCTTCATGACACTGCGGCATAATTAGAGATAATCAAAATTAGATCTCAAGTATGGAACAGAAAATTCATGGGTTGACCAGGATGTGAAATACTGGTTTTTGCCAGAGCTGGTTTTGATCACCTCAAGGAAGCAATCAGAACCCAACTTTAACTTCACACTTACTCTAAGAACTACCTGAATTTCAGTGAAGACCCTCTCGGTTGTATGTCCTGCTATTGGCTTCCTGCATTTTGTCAGTCACTTGCACATCCTTTCCACACTCCTCTGATCCATCCTCAGCATGAAACCCATCATGCCTAACTATTGATATCACTGCAAAATTTCTGTCTAGAGCTTCTCCTTTACACCACTTAGTAAATTCCATTGCAGAGCATTTCCATATTTAAACTGTCTATGAAAAACCAAGCCACTAAATCAGCTCTTAATTCAGAGATGACACACCTATTCCTTTCCATTCAGAAGGATATTGCGTGTATATGTCCATGCAAATGCGTAAATTTCAAAATTTTTCGATGAGAATTTAACAGGTAGCCCTTTCTGGAACTTGTCCTTCACAAATTTTTACCCCGTCCTTGATAACACTTTCATATTTGCTTCATTTTTCTCAGACTTCAAAACTCTATGGCTGTTCTCACAAACCTAGTCTGTGAGCAGGGGTGCCACCTAAATAATTAAGTATGTTCAGAAACTATTTTGCACTGTTCTGTATAATACACAGGAGTTTACCAGGTGTTTGGGAAGCCTTCCTCTACCGAGGCACATTACTACACATCTCTGAATTCTCAGGACATTTGCCACCACAAGTCATGAAGATGGAAATGCATTACAGGCATTAATGAACTTTGGACATTCCAGATCATCTACTCTGATCAAAGAGAGCAGAGACGTAGCTCATTACTGCTCTACAAGCTACAAAAAGCATCATAGTCAGGGTCTTCCCAAGCTCCTTCCAATGCCTAAGATTGTAGAGTTACCAGGCCAGCAGTGAATTTCAAAGGTGATACTTGAGTCTGCTGCTGTCATAGTGGAGCCAGGGTTCTGGGGACCCCAAATCACACTTGCCAACAGCAAGACACAAAAGGGACAGTGAATGACCCATGGCCAATGCTTGAGGATCTCAGGAGCTGAAGCTAACTAAATACCTGAGGCTCCAGACCCCGGAACGACTCCTAAACACTTGTAACTGGTTTCGCCCCTTCCACCGTATTTCTGGGCTCCCATCCACAACGTCACCATTCCATGGCTCCAGGATCTCTCAGGTTCTTTGCTAATTAGGCCACAGGACATCAAAAGTACTAAATGAGATCCAGCAAGCATTTTGCTACCATTATTATACTCAGAACAGATAAATCATGCTGAGACACCAGAAGAGACAGAAGTTACAGCCAGCAATGGCCCGTCTGATTGGACAGTTCATATAGCCTGCCCCTTCATCACTGATTGACTCCTGCTCTACTGCCCTCCTTCTGAGTCAAGAATCAACAGGGAAAGAAACCCCTCCCTGCAAGAGAGGATCACAAATGATAGACTGTAGTGCAGAAGCTTCTGGAGCTGCCATTCTTCTACAGTGGTGAACTCAGCTCTACAGAGGAGTGTTTGTACTGAAGAGCTTTACCTCAGGCTTTTAATTTTCAAATCCATTTCATTACAAGGAAAAAAGAACACATCAACTAAAACTAAACTTCAAAACATGTTAATCAGGGGGCAACACTGTATATACATTGCACATGGTCATCCCCAGATCATTCACATAGAGCACACGACATCTGTAATCAATTTTCCAAACAGTACTGTTACATGGACATGAGTTATTTGAATAGTATTGACAAGAGACAGGGCTAGGTCCCCCAAGGAGCCCATACCGGAGACCAGATAGCTTGCAACTATGGGGAAGACTGACACCTCATGCTATGGGCCAAGGCTGAAGACAAATAATAAGCAAATTCATCCATATCCTAAGGATTGATATTGATATCCTAAGGAAGTCAGGAGTCACCATTTAAAGAAATGTATCCTTTTAAAGACTGACATTCTACGTAGTTCCTGTCATCCTGATGAACTCAGTACTCACCCTCCCAAACCCCTAAGTGAAGTCACAGCTGCCTAAGAATGCCTGCTTTCTATGTGACTCCCTTCCCTCTTTGTTCCCAAATTAATCAACCTTACCTGAACTTATAATTTTATTGGCTGCCTTAGCTCTGTCCCATCTTATGCCCATCTGCATTGTGAGTTCCTAATTTTCCCCTCCTTAAACTAATTTCACCACATGATTTTACTCTATAATGATCCCTAGAAAGGACAGTGTTTGGCAACCTGCTCAGGACCCCTTCCCTGTCTCAGGCAGCTTTCTTTCTCTCAATAAGTATATTCTTCTGTTAATTTCTGTTGTTCCTAAAATTCAGTCTTTGACTTTACAGAACAAAAACCTCATATCAGACATAGCAGACCAGGAGATTGATTTTGCTATAGCAATATTAGAATAAACTTTTCTCTTTCTAGAAGTCATAGAAATCAGTTGTAGTTTATATTACACAACGTTGAACTCACCTTGCCAGGGATACTTGCATTGAAGGACTTTATCCCTGCCTTTAAGTGCTGCTTCTTTTCTGAAAGTGAACTGATCTGTAATTTTGGTTATGGTATCAACAATGCATTAAGGAATTGACTCAAAATATTTCTTATGAATGGTTTACAAAGAGCCATGGAGGAAGACAGATAGCAAATATTATTTGTTTTGATTTCTTCATTCAAACCAAAGGATGTACTTGAAAGAGTTTTGCCCTAGAAAAATTACAGGACCTCCTAGTGGTAATTCAAGGTGGAAACAGGTGAACTCAGGGATGCTTACTCATATGGCCACTTCCTCTTTTCTCCTTGATAACAACACCCTCTTTCTTTCCCAGGAGCCTAAAGAAAATTCCCTTCAGCTCCTTGCATGACATCAATGTCCCCTCCAAGCACCACATCCAGTCAAAAGTCACATATACCCCATA